CCCTTCAGTCCGCAGGCCGATGCTCTATCCACTAAGCCAAACCGGTTAGGGCTACATTTGTTTTCTTAAGGCTCTTGATTTATTGCCACATGGCCATAAGAATTTAAATTCCCATCAGTAGTATATAAGTGCCTGTTCCTCTGCATTCAGGAGTATTATTTTTAAGCCACTACCAATCTCAATTTATTACTTACATTTACAGTTCTTTTTTTTTTTTTAATATATTTTATTGATTTTTTTACAGAGAGGAAGGGAGAGGAATAGAGTTAGAAACATTGATGAGAGAGAAACATCGATCAGCTGCCTCCTGCACACACCCTACTGGGGATGTGCCCACAATCAAGGTACATGCCCCTGACTAGAATCGAACCTGGGACCCTTGAGTCTGCAGGCTGACGCTCTATCCACTGAGCCTACAGTTAGGGCCTACAGTTCTTTAATTTTTAATGAGGCTGAATATTTTGAGATATACTTATTGGCCCTTTATATTTCTTGTTTTATAATGTTTTTGCTTAAGTACTTTGCCCATTTTTCTATCAGGGTATATATGTTTTCCTTATCTTTTGAAGAACTTTTACTATTTTTATAATTTTAATTTTTCATAAAATAATTTATAAATACAAATATTTGATTTGCTTAATTTTTTGGTAGCAGTTGTGCTGGCCTTAATATTTGTCTATAGCAGCAGTTCTCAACCTGTGGGTCGTGACCCCTTTGGGGTGGAACGACCTTTTCACAGGGGTCGCCTAAGACCATTGGAAAACACATATATAATTACATATTGTTTTTGTGATTAATCACTATGCTTTAATTATGTTCAATTTGTAACAATGAAATTGGGGGTCACCACAACATGAGGAACTGTATTAAAGGGTCGCGGCATTAGGAAGGTTGAGAACCACTGCTCTATAGCTTGATGGAGATTTATATGTTTTGTAACTCACCTGAATATTAAGCACTCCATAAATATTGGTGAATCATTACTCAGGCAACTTTCCCATTCTATTTAAATACCATCCATTTAAATACCATCCACACCTCATCCCCCTTGGGGCACCTTTAAGTTTTCTTTAACAAATTACTTCCTAATTCATTTCCATCTTGGCAACATTCATGAAAAAATCCTTTGCTTCTTCTGAGTACACTAAAAAATTATTGCTTACTCCCCTTTAAAATATTTGCAATTTTCTAATCTGTTATGGACATTAGGTAGAACAGTGAAGAATAAAGAATAGCCAGTAAAACAACTATTGATAGTTTAAAAAGTATTTCATTTATGCCCAGCAGCATGGCTCAGAGGTTGAGCACTGACCTATGAACCACAAGGTCACAGTTCGATCCCGGTCAGGGCACATGCCCGGGTTGCGGGATTGATCCCCTTAGTAAGAGGTGTGCAGGAGGCAACAGATGAATGATTCTCTCTCATCACTGATGTTTCTATCTTTCTCTCCCTCTCCCTCTCGGAATTTTATTAAAAAAAAAATATTTTTTTAAAAAAGTATTCAATTTAAGACAGAACCCATTTAATTCACTGTTGGTATAAACAGGCACCTAGTAAGAAATTATCAGTTTTACATATTTTAGATAGAGACAAAAGAAATCAATAATAACAGTATGGTGCTCCATTACGTTTTTGCTTTTTCTCATTTCTATGTTAATAAAGTCCTACTATCTTTTGGAGTGTTTCCAATGTTTCTACATTACATAGGTTGCTTTTATATTCCAAATCCAGGTCCACAATAAATCCCTCCCTAAGGCTATAGAAGAGAGAAAACCAGTTCCTTATTTTTACCACTTCCATTTGCAGCATAACAATGACAGAAGCAAGTCTGCTCTGTATCAGTGGGTTATTCCTCAACACAGTGACTCTTAAAGGTCCAGATCCTTGCTGGGTAGCAGGTTGCACAGCATCATCGTTCCAAAGATTCATTGGCAGTTGTTTACAGCCAACACAATGATTTATCCTTATCAATAGGGAAGTCATTCAAAGAAACTCAGAGTTTAGTTTTCTAAAACATCTGCCTTTGCCCAAAAAATAAATCCTGAGTACACACAACCATAAGGAAAAAGGGAAGGCAGAGGAAAAAAGAAAGAATAACCCTTCTAATTCAAGAACAAGTAGGAAGACAGAGAGCAAATTGTAGGATGCACTCGTTCATGAGAAATGGAAAGGAAAATTACCATAATCTCATATGGAGACGTTCCCCAAATTAACACACTTTATTTTAGCAAAGTTGAAAACATTGAGATATGGGGCTGCTGATACTAGGAAAGTGGTTTTTTTACAGTTGGCTACGCAGTGTCGATTTGTACTTTATACCATTCTACTTGTATACATTTTTCACACAATTGGAAACTTTGGTTTGGTTTCTCTTAAATAGCAGCAACCTAATAATTTAATTTGTATAGTGTTTAGCAATTTATCAAGTACTTTCACATCTATCGTCTGACTGCCTCATAATCTGTCTTGCCTCACTTTATTTTTTAAACATATATTTTTATTGATTTCAGAGAGGAAGGGAGAGAGAAAAACAATGATGTGAGAGAATCATCGATTGGCTGCCTCCTGCATGCCCCCCACTGAGGATCGAGCCCACAACCCAGGCATGTGCCCTTGACTGGAATCCAACCTGGGACCCTTCAGTCTGCAGGCTGACGCTCTAACCACTGAGCAAAACTGGCTAGGGCTGTCCTACCTCACTTTAAAAACCCATCCAGACATTGCTATAGGAGGAACAAAGAAGGTACCAGATTCAGGGGTTAAGCAACCCGAGTTGCTGGGTTAGTTCAAGAACACTGGATTTGGGCTTACTGGGTGACAGTGCTTAATGTGCCCCTGACCTTTAGTAGGAGGTGGGAATGGGAGATTTTGCTGGAGACTGGAGACTCCTAGGTAAGGCATTTGAGGAATGCCTTCAACTTGGGGAAGACACTGGGTAAGATAGGATCGCTGCCCGTAATGTCCCTGACTTTCCGGCTTCCAGAGTTTAATGTACTGTTCTCCTCTATTCCCAGCTCCTCTCCAGCTCGCCATCCTCCATGCACACCCTCTAAGAGCAGTGTTTCTCTAACCATCCTACCCT